ACCTGTCCTCAACAATAACGCTAATCATATCTCACCTCGAGGGTATCGCTTTAAGGTCAGAACAAATCCACTGCCATACATTAAGTCCTTGTATTGTTTTAATGAAGGTGCAGGACTCCTGCCGCTGCGAATTGCACTTACACCTCAAACAGTGTGTGTGTGTGTGTGTAAAGGCCTCCAAATCCTAATTCTCTTCTCACTTATCAGAAAAACCACGCTGGAATACATCACATTATGAGTAAGGAGAGTGTGACATATAAGACTGCAGGATCTTTTTAATGAATGTGAAACCTGGACTGAGTTTACACTGAAGCTCAGTCCAGTCCTGACATTACACCATGCAACACCTTTCCACTCTACAAAATGTATGGCATGAGCATCTGTGTCCACGCTCATGGGAGTTTTTCTCAGAGGGAGCCATGGAGATATATTTATGTTTCTCCCCCCCATTACCAGAGCTTTAAATAATAAAGTAAAAATAAATAGCATCCATTAAACTGATCACATTGTGCTAACTCAAATTGTGTTTATTATGCTAATGGTACATGAAATTAAGAAAAAGACCTTCATGCCAGTGGATTTAATTAATTGGCTTTGGAAAAGGCACTGAGACATAATTCATTTCTGAGTAAGTAAGTCTCATTTGCAGCTCCTCCTCGTGCTGCTGATTGCCTGAGTTATTCTTGCAGATGTGCTGCTCACAGCATGTCCCTCCATTAGAAATGAACACCTCATTATATAAACTACCTAATTAAACATAATACAGCTCCGCATTGACTCATTAATGCGGAGCCTTGTTTTCTCTGAAGGGAAGAATGTGAGGGGGGGAAAGGGAGAGAGATAAAGCAAATGAGATAGAGACCTCCGTCCCACAGAACAGAGTAGGATTTCGTCCTTTCACACATTTCAGCCATTGTTATAAACACAATAAAAAAGTGATAAAAACACCGGTTCTAGGTGTGAACCGGACTCTGTTTTACCCTCCCCTGATAGCTAATTATATTTGGTGAAATACAGACAGAGCTAAATGTAAACTTTCAGACAAGCTGTGTCACGTTTTCATTTACGACCAAAGGCCAAAAACACAAACTCATGTCTCAGATAGAAAAGTGGAAAAGGGCATAGAGGGACTATGCGCGAAGAAGTTCAATGAGGAAAATGAGGCCTCCCTCCCTCTCTGGCTCAATCACCCGCACAACCTAAAGCAAACACAGTCTGTGTAAGCCTCAATAATTCAACACTAATTAAAAAGACACAATATATACAGCAGCGACTGAGAGCTGCACAGTCATCAAGTGTTGACACACACTACTCCATTCAAGGCTGTGCATGTGGTGTGTGTTAGAATCCATGTGTTCAGAGTCAAGATATGTTTTCCATCATGGTGATTACCCTCAGTTCTGCATGAAGCTATATGAGCGTTCATTTTAGGCTTGAGTTTGGATTCAGGTCTAGATAAACGATTGTAATGATTAGGGTTAGGAGTTTGGGATTTGTTTAGTCCTCACTAAATTATTATAATTGATTTTTTTTGGGGTATTTTGTTTGGGAAGTCTTTTCTCGAAGTCCACATATGACACTTCCTGTCCTTTTATCCACATCGTATGATCTACTTAAGCTGATGAGTTCATTCACTTGTCATTGGCTGACTGTGGCATGAGGCGAAAAATGTGTCAAATCAGAGGGTCAGTGGTTCGATTCCAGACCCTGCAGTCAACATGTTGAAGGGTCCTTGGCAGGACACTTAACTCCCAACTACTCCTGTTAGTTTATGTACTATGCTTTGGATAAAAGTTAATAAAATAATTAATGCTGTCAAAATTATTGCGTTAACGGCGGTAATTAATTTTTTGAATTAATTGTGTTAAAAATATTTAACGCATTTAACGCAGAATGGCCCGCCCCATACATCCCACAGTGGCAGCGCTGGGGTAGGCAACAGCCATACCAAGAAATGGCTTAGCCTCACCTTAGCCCCACCATGAAAAATGATGTTAAAGTAAGCCAAATAAAGTCCGCCAACTTGCGCCGAGTAAATTGCACAGACAGCAATTAGTAAGATTGATTTCAGTAGCCACTTGTCTGGAAATACCGAAGACTAGAAACGGTTCTGAAAACTTTTGTCACGTAGTGATCGTCTTCTCAATAGAACATCTTTGATAATGTCTTCTGGCCAATCAGAATCAAGATAACGGCGTGGTGTTGTTGCAGGAAGTCCAGACGGAGAATAATTTTGCTGTAGTACATCTCTATACATCGATACAACATTACGTGTTAATAGAAATCAACACGTAATTAAATAAGACCCCACGGTTTGATGATTGATAGGTTTGTGGGCTGTCTTTCATTTTGACACACAGAACAATGTTATAATAAACATACATACATACTGTATGTTAAATGGATATATCCGCCTTCTTTCATTTATCTTTCCATTCCCACAACAATATACATAAAGAAATGGAATATTTTGGACATAGTTCGAATGTTGATTAATCATGAGTAATTAATTTTTAAACTGTGATTAATCTGATTAAAATGTTTAATCGTTTGACAAACCTAGTTTATACATATGCACACATTCAAATATATCAATACAAGCACAACAGTCAATATATACAAAATAACACTTCAAAATCTGTGAAAAGTGTATAGTGAAGGAGTGTCCATAGCAGCGTAAAAAGTGAAAAGTCCTGAGGTTAAACTGTTACTTTTGAACAGACAGAAGTATTGGCAAGTACTCATTATGTACATGAGTGTTGTATCATTATATAATAAGATTATGTGTCACTACAACTGACAAATACTGAGATATATGCTGCAATGTTAACTT